CGGTGAAATAGCCCGCGAGTTTTCAAAAGAATTGCGCGGATAATAAAAGGCTTTCTGCGCCGTAGAAAACGCGCGTTTATCCGTGTGTTCCATCGTGCATACAGCCTGCACGGGGATTAGCATCGCATGAACGAATCCCCCTTTATCGGTCTCATTTATTCGCCCCTTCTTCCCGCCGCGACGTCCTCTTTCACTCGGCTGCAACACTTTCCCCGTGCACAATTCCTAGTCACTCCCTGCGACGACGCATTCCACGAGATCAATTGGTAACTGTTCCGAAGACCTCTGACTCGCGGAGCGCATCGCGCTCCTTGCTCATTTTCTCGTCTCCGTTCCGTGACTTATCGCGAGGAAACTTTTTTCACGCGATGATTTGCATGCATTAACAACCGAAACTTTCCGATCACCTTTTCTTTTTTTATTTTAAATACCGTTTGAATACCGTAGAAGATTCTATGGCTTATACTGATTGCCTATTTGCTTTTTATGACAATTTTTTCTGCTCTAGTGCCCATTTATAGTAAGTACAATACCGGACAAATGTTTTCGGACAAAAACCGTTTCCTATAGTATTTGAATTAGGGATACTACTGACGTTACATTAAATAATCAACGCCTGTCTTGCGTAAGACGATTCATGACTATGTAGTAAATGTAAATAAAAAGTAACTAACGTAGATAATTTTAACAAAGTTATGAAAACAATAAAAAAATGTTATCAGAAATGTTTACAATAGAGAAGCGTTTGAGCATCTTCTTCAATAAAGACATTTTTTGAAAATACCTCGAAAACTAATCATTCTTTTCGTAGAATGAACAAAGGAATCGATCTGTGCAACAAACAATATGCATTTCCATTTAAAGAAATGATGCAATTGTTAATTGCACATGCACTGTTGCACTTAAAAAAAGTCTAAGGGCCTACAGATGTAAGGAATTTCGAGCCATTTATCTTTGTCCTTTGGCATTTTTTCATAAATACACCAATAACAGAATTATGGCCTGAAACAATTGCGTGGACCATCCTGTATAATGTAGAAGTTTGTGGCTCTAATGTTAAATGATATTATAAAAAAAAAAATAGGTAAAAGTTACAGGATTTGTGTTTCAATGTAAATCACCTTGAACATCGTCGGCGACTAATAACTGGCCCTGTTAATGGATAGTGAGATTCCAAGCTTACTCGACACGGATGTAATGCAAGCCGTGCTATAATACGGTATAAGAAAACTGGCCGCGAAAAAAAAGAAGCGCACGGCATCCTTAGACCACGAGGCGTGGACGCACAGATGCACGAGTGGATGCTCGAATTCGACACGTCACGTGACTCTCGAGCGCTCCTATTACGCCAGAATCTAAAAAATTTTTACATTTTGATCCTTCGAGCTTTTGGAATGTTTTACGCTAACGGTTTGATTAATGATTCCAAGATTTATCATTAAAATTATTGTTTTTCCAATATGCGTTTGTATTTGACATTTTATTTATTAAATCAATTTATGGTAAAAAAAATCTAGACTAATTGCTTTTGAATATAAGTAATTGAATACTTTTTTGGTAGGGAATAAGCAGTTGCATCGATTAAGGAAATCAAAAATATAGAAGAGTGACACAACAAAGAAATGGATGATTGTGAAATATCTGGAAAAATTAACTCTAAAAGTGAGCTATTTTTATGTGAAAAGTAAAAGCTATGTCTAATGTGAAATTATACTATTATAATTAAATTAATAAATTTACAGCTTCTTTAAATAGATCACAAATATTGTTTATGGTGTTTGACATTTATTTCAATACAAAACTGGTACACCGCAGTGAATCGTAAATGATACCTATAACAGCTTATTTTCAGTTTTATTTAACAACAATAAAACACTCAATCTGGTGAAATTTTGTTATAAATAATTTACCATGTTGCATTGACATCGATACATAATTCATGGTTACCGATACCATCACAATTATGGTGAAAAAGAATCGAATTTGTATGAAAACCTACTTCTTTTGACCCTTTAATGCGCGCTGTTTTGGAAATGAATCGTAAAAGAGTCACTTTTTTTGTTCGTGGAAATCATTATTTCATTAAATTTTTTTACAATACTTACACGTATGAGAATAAAAAAAAATATTGAATCAAAAACATTAATTTTACTTCTTTAAGTTATATACGTAAAGTGTACTCACAATAATTACAATGGTTCTAAGGGTTATAAAAAATAAAAAATTTTACCTTATTTTGTATCAGTACCACAATAAACAAAACTGATTGTTGAGATAACAACAGTCGTAAATAACTTTTGAAAAGCTGCTCTCCCTACGCTTGTATTTATATCATGTTATTTTAGTCTTACGAAAAGTTACAAGAAAAATTAGAAGTTAAGTTATGCAAATACTACAATAATTATAATTCTTTTATACAATCGTGATTTTTTAGATTACTTTTCATTATCCATGTTTATTGGAGTATGTACATTATGGTAACGTAAAACTATACGCTGCTCGAATTAATTCGAGCATGCGCGTTAACCCTTTCATTACCATATTATCTAAAAATTACAAACAAATATTTCTTTTTGTATTTTTGTTTATATTACACGACATATAAATGATTAACAAGAACATTTCAACGTTTTCAAAGCGTTTAGTGCCATTTCTCATTCGTTGCCATTTGGCAAATTTTTATACTTGTATCACAGTTATGTATAATAATTGACATTACAAAGTTATTGTACGTAATAAAATCCATTTTTGTTATCTTCGATCAGTGAAATATTCTTAAAAAAATTACAATTTATAAGTTCTTATGGTATTGCTAATAATACTGAACACATGGATTCCAGCAAACGAAGAAAACAAAAAGCAATAATGTCTTACTTCACCGATAAACCTTGGAAAGCATATAAACGTTTTTTTTTATTTATTTATTTATCGTCGCATCGACCAAAGGACATTAGCGACTACATAAACATTTGTGTCATGCCATCTATACACAATACCAAAACAATCTATTATATCCTCATGAAAAAATATATGATATTAATATTTTATTTCCGAATTTAAAATACGTAGCCATATAGTAACAGTGAGAAGGAAAGGGTTAAGGGGTTAATGTAAGTTCAGAATCTTTTGGTTATAAATTACAATTATCAAATTTTTTCGAGAACGCCATTGTAATTATCTATAGCATCGACAGAACTAGAACTAACCAAAAGACGAGAAATGTAAAAGTCGGTTCCCGGCAGTCAACGTGTTAACCAACGCCCTTCGTAAGCTCACATGTGTGCAATTCCACGCTCGGCAGCTCTTGTAATTTTGTACGTTTCCACGTTATAGAACAATATCTCACGCTTCCCTAAACGGGGCATATGCGTGTCCGCTTGCGTGTAAGCCACCGCCACTAATTTGGGTAATTTCACGCATGTGAGTTCTCCGTATACACTTTCATCTCGCATTTACACTTCCACGCTGGTCCCGAAAGATCTTCGTTAACTGCTTTGTTTTCCCTTTTAAAAGACCGTTGCTCCTCATTATTATTATCCATTTACTAGTTTCTTAAAAGTAATGTTTTTTGTTAAATGTTAAACATTTTTAGACAAGCATACATAAGTGACACGATATCTTTTTACCGATTATTATACTGCTTAAAATAATTTAAAAAAAAAAAAATAAAACTGCTAGGGTAGATGTCCCAATTACTGCCACTAACTTTATATAATCATTTTATGTGTTGTTTGACGTAAAAATTACCTCAGCTTGAAACATAGTATTATTTAACATGTCTTTCATTTAAAGAAATGGTTTTACGCATTAAGTACAAGGAATTAATTCATAATTAATTAAAATATACGAGCAATCCCAGTGGCCCTATAACGGTCACCATAAAAATTAAACTACTTATGTACTTTAACAATTCATTTTGTACAATGGATGTTGAATAGTAACATTGCATCTCCTTCTTTACTATGATTTCGCCATTACTTTCTACTTACGTAGTCGCGTTTTTAACGCTCAAATTGTACTTTCATTTTTCAACGTTAATCTTTAAATACCAAGCATACAAAGTACATGTATTTCTTTGTTTCTAATGCAAATCGAAGTCTCAATTTAATAACGACTTTTTTTTTGTAGACAATTCTTTATGCGTTACGTTGTTATTAAGTGAAATAAATAAAGTGACAGTATTAGGGACACTGTTAGTAATTGGGACATTTACCCTTCTCCAATATTCATGGAAACAGTGCATTGCGCGATAGCTGATTAGTAAGCTTGTGTCAAAGTAAATATTGGTCATTTCGAATAAAATCTTTATATAGATAGAATAGAAGAATCGGATAACTTTTTGTTACTTAGTTCTATGTAGTTCTGTGAAACCACCCCTTAAAGATAAATGTCTTTTCATATTTTCCTGTATATTTCGAAAATTATAGTAGATATCAAAAAAATCGTTAGACTAAAATTTGATGGTTTATTATGGTCTATAAAACTGTGCAATGGAATTGTTAAAAATGTCTTGTTTCAATGAATAAATAAACAAATTCTTAACAATTTCATTGTACAGTTTTATAGACCATAATAAGCCATCAAATTTTAGTCTAGTCACTTTTTTTATATCTACTGTGGTTTTCAAAATACTTGTTTGTAAGAAAATAGAAAAACACATTAAGCTTTAAGAGGCGTTTTCACCACGAAGAACCATAAAATTACAAAAAGGAAAAATTGTCTGATACTTCTATTGAGGTTCACTGCAATCCTGCAAAATTAAAGAAAAATCGGAATTGTTAAGGGTACTGGAGTTCCCTTGTAAGTGATTGAATGGGGGTGATTACTTTCAACACTACGTTTTATATTCTATTTCTCTTCCTAAGTGTTATTTTGTTAGTTGAAATATTGTACTATATCCTTCATATAGTTTAATGAATCTTGACTATGTCGATTGCTTAAATGTTAAACAAAAAAGCTACATTTCCTTGCGTATAATTGAAATTTTAATCTGTTTTCAGGAAAGGGTACAAGCAAAGGATCCGCCGTCCCATTACCTAGCAAAATTACGCACCTACCTGGATCCGAAAGCGTCGCGAAGTCATCGAGTATGTTCCTATTATATTTATTTCTACGTCTTCTTATGTGTTCGTGTTGTCGTCTCTTTTACGTTTGCAACGCGAATCGGCTGAAACCAACGTGTCGGGACATAACTCACGTGCATATCGTGGTGAATGGAATTCACGATGTAACCGAAGAAAATTTGATTCTTTGCAAAAGAACAAACCAATAGTGAGAATACCCTTTTTAAAAAATGTTATCAAATACATCGACTTTGAAGGTTCTAACAAACTGAGTATTCGACAATTTCACGAATTAGTTATCGAAAATTCATTAAGGGGTTATGCCTACCTGCGAGCTCGAAAAAAGATACGTACTTTCGGAATTTATTTTTAAAAAACTTGAAGACTTTTTTAAACATACGTCATTGTATTCAAAAGTGTACATTTTAAAGTGCTTACAATAATTTCTTCAATGCAAAATATGAATAAATAGGGAAAATATCAGCGATCTCCTGGCTGCGTTTTTATTTTAGGTGTTTTGCGATGACCACTGTAACTTCGAGTTCGATTATCTAAAATAAAAAATCCGAGCAAATTTAATTAATGTATTAAATTATCTAGTGCCCGATCGTTCATTATCCTGAAAAATTAATTTACGATAAAATGGCGGTTGTTCAAAATCGAAGTATCGATTTTCGCCAAAATAATCGTTCATTTTTGCTCAGAAAATAAAAACCACGCAATAAAATAGAAAAAGCCACGATCAGGTACTAGATTTTTATGTATAGAATGAGTTCACCAAAGCTGAATCAGTTCGGTGCAGCGGTTCTCGAGATATTTGGGTCACCGATTTTGAAAATGTTATGAGAAAAACACGTGTAAAGTTTCAAGTCTGGTTTACAACTGAATCAATGCAAATTTTTTGTATATAGTTATTCTTAGTATTACGGCTTTATAAAGCTCTGTGTATTTACTAACACAACCATAAATTGCATTGGGCCACAGTATCCATGACTCACGCACCCCTAGAAAGGGATTCTACCACTTTATATCTGCTCCGAAACTTCTAAAGTCGTAGACTTTAAACGGGCGTAACTCCGCTAATTTTGGTCGGATCGTCTTAAAATTATCACACAATATTTCTAAAATGATGTACTGTAAGAAAATATTAAAACCCAAAAATCGATTTTTTCAAAATTTATAGGTAGGCATAACCCCTTAATGTCGCCGGCATTTCCAAAGAAGAAAAAGAAACAATTGTTTAAAAAATGCAATGGTACAGCTAGAATTACAAGAAAATGAAAACAAATATTCCTTTGGATAATTTCACTTATGTTTCTTTTACAAGGGATTATTTTTTGTTTCGATCGCAGAATGAATTCTGTCGAACTTTATGCACTCACAATTCCCTGTATTCATATTGACAATCGCGTAAAATATTTCTGTTACTCGGCTGCGAAAATGATCGTTTATTTTCAGTTAGTTTTTTCGCTCTACGAGACTGAGCAACGGATACTAATGATTATACAGACGTATCGTTTCCTTATGTTTTTTCAGAAAAGAAAAATAGTTGGGGAGTCAACGTCGACACAAGTACTCCGGGATTTGGAAATCTCTTTACGAACGAATCATATAGAGTAAGTTCGAATGCTATGTCTTCCGAAATGTAGCTGTACCTGCGATATTATACGCAATTTTTCAGGGGTTCGAGGATCTATTAGTGTTAACGTTTTACGTCAAAATACGGTCCTGTTAAAGCCATTCGATGAAACGAGTAAATAGAATAGTTCGAGAGTAACCAAGATGATATTATTTCTCATGATATTTCCATGAAATTGTTAACAATAAATGGTAATTTTAATTTTAATTACTATTTATTATTACTAATTATGGTATTCTCGAGACACAAGTTAGTCCAAACACAAGCTACAGCAATTGCACAAGTATATTTTCCAGGGGCTCTAACAAAAGCTTTGTTGAAATAATCGTTAAAGATTAATACTGTTAAGTACGTGACAATTTAAATCATTTTTCAAGCACAGAACAATAATTCTAAAATCTAAGCCGTATTTGGCTTACAGTTACTCATAGAAGTATGTATTTACACGGCCCATATGTATATAACATATCCTACAAGTTAAAGTTAGAAATATTAATTACAATTTACATTATTATATACCTTGATTAATTTACTTTAGATTAGGATGTATTTTTAAAAATTTGTTTAAATAAATAAACAAATTTTTAACAATATAATTGTACAGTTTTATAGAGCAGAAGAATCCATTAAATTTTCATTGTAACCATTTTTTTTATATCTTCTACAGTTTCCAAGATACATAGTAAAATAGGAAAACACATATTAGCAATTAAGGGATGTTTGCACCCTGGCTGAAAGAATTGCCTAATAATTAGTCTACAAACATGCAGAGTTTCATTTAAAAAAAAAAAAAAAAAAGGAGTTTTTGGGTTACCAAAGTTCCCTTGTATGTGTCATAAATGCAAAAATGAACAGCATTATGCGTTATTCTTTCGTTCATCAATGTTCAACATCTTTTTCAGCGTGCGTTTCGAAGCCTTACAGCTTCATTAATTTTACAGATTTTTATATTCAACATAGCCTATACTTTCAGCAAGTGCACAACTAAAATTCTATTCTTATGACCCCCATGGAGACATAAATACTTATCCTTAACCTCAGGAGTACGGACCGTCAGAGTCCGCGGCTGGGTCAATCGTGACCCATAAACAAGATGTTGTACAGAAGTACAGATATAACACGACGTTCGATTTGTCGTTTTATAAATAATACAGTCATTGTGTTTATTGACGGGTCACCGGTGACCCAGCCATAGAAACGGGAAGATTAACCCTGCTGTTCTCTTCGGATCTATAGGCCTGATATAAAAATTCTACTTCATTAGATATTATTTGATTTTAATATTCAACGTATGTAATTTTACGTCTAGTTTTTATATATTTTGCATTTCTTGAAAACAAATTATTTTAAGTAAGGGAGGAGATTAGCAGGGTTAAAGGTGGGATTTCCAATAAGCGTTAAGACGCGTGCGTCTGCGTTTAAACGAAATGTGACCTATACTGGGTAACCAATTTGAAGTGATACACGAATTTATCTCCTGAACTGTTTCTTATGAAAAAAATGCATCAAGTAAAGCGTACTTAGTTCTAAGGAAGAAATCTTGTGGTGGTTACAAATCTTATCTAGGTGCATTTGCCTTCGAGACTTCAAGGTGACCTTTATTTTTTTAATTGGAACCATATGTTTTTTATTTAGACAGACATATAGCCCATTCCATGAGGAATTCATCGATCTGTAATATGTTGGTGTTCCAAGGTCATTCAAGGTCATTTAAAAAAACAAAGGTCACCTTGAAATCGCGAAGGCACGCCCACCTAAGTAAGATTTGTGACCACCACAAAACGTCCCCCTTGAAATCATGTAAGCTTTCCTAGAAACATTCTTTTCTATAACAAATAATTTAGAAATTAATTTTGTGTATCATTTCAAATTTGTCACCGTGTATATGTGTTTCTCACTTCATTCCAATATCTTCGAGATGTAACGTCCGCTTCAGTAGCAATTAGGACGCAAAATGCACGTGTCTGACGCTTATAGGACATACCATTTTTAAGGCGCGTATTCGCTTGTTGCATTTCCTTGTATCGTATCACCGTTGTGTATCAATGTGGACGGGCAAGCGTTTTATCGTTGCGTATGAAAATGTATCGTATGATGATACGATACGAGGAGACATAACGAGTGGATACGCACCTTTAGGCTTCGTACCGTTCGTATTCCGTAACAAAAAGTTCCATCGTATCATTCAATGACATTCAACTATATTAGCAATATAAACATTTAAATGATAGTTTTAAATTGTTAAACAGAAGTATTTACACAAACTCGAAACCGTGGCAACAACTAAATGCTACCTAATCAATTATGGAATTGCAATTATTGCTGTAAACATAGGAAACAGCATTTTTCAAAGTGAAACGAAATTCTCCACTAATCCACAGTACTCTACTGGTTTAGAGTTAGGTCTACTGTCCACTAAGGCGTCTCATCATAGACGCTTGCAGGACGCTTCCATGTAGCGACCAATGTAAAACAAGGACGTGTGTCCACATATGCTTCAGCGTCGCGTTTTCGTCGCTGTATGCGTTCGGCATGAAACGCGTCGTCAACGATGTCTGCCGCTGGGCGTATACATAGAAGGACGCAAAATGTTCATTTGTGTTTGAGTGTGAAATATGTCGGCCCTGAAATTCCTACAGATTGTTGAAAAGTTACCCATAAAATATAAAAAAAATAGAAAAAATACCCATGTTTGTACATGGCTAACACAACATCGCATTTTAGTGTCTTGTTTTTTGATTAGCGGAGCTACCAAACGCACTAAATTCTTGCACGTATTTTTATTCATTCTATAGGAAGAATGAAATACATGATCATTTATGTTCTTTTCTATGTAACGATCTAACCAATATCTTTTCCGATTTTTACGCCGTCGAATATAATTACAACATAAGGCGATGAGTTCCTTTTCGTCGCCCGACATCTTTGCGAATGAAGAAAATGAAGTTTTTTGTACGCTTTCTATACGCTTCCAATACGCTCAAGTGGACAGAAACTCTAGCGTTGCGTAATCGTCATGTTATACGCTACGCTGATGTGTCTATGACGAGACGTCTTAAGCCTACTGTCCACTAAGGCCTACTGTCCACTAAGGCCTACTGTCCACTAAGGCGTCTTAGGCCTACTGTCCACTAAGGCCTACTGTCCACTAAGGCGTCTTAGGCCTACTGTCCACTAAGGCCTACTGTCCACTAAGGCGTCTTAGGCCTACTGTCTACTAAGGCGTCTCAGGCCTACTGTCCACTAAGGCGTCTTAGGCCTACTGTCTACTAATAAGGCGTCTCAGGCCTACTGTCCACTAAGGCGTCTTAGGCCTACTGTCCACTAAGGTGTCTTAGGCCTACTGTCCACTAAGGCCTACGGTCCACTAAGACGTCTTAGGCCTACTGTTCACTAAGGCGTTTTAAGTCTACTGTCCACTAAGGCGTTTTAAGCCTACTGTCCACTAAGGCGTTTTAAGCCTACTGTCCACTAAGGCGTTTTAAGCCTACTGTCCACTAAGGCGTTTTAAGCCTACTGTCCACTAAGGCGTTTTAAGCCTACTGTCCACTAAGGCGTCTTAAGCCTACTGTCCACTAAGGCATCTTAGGCCTAGTGTCCACTAAGGCCTAGTGTCCACTAAGGCCTACTGTCCACTAAGGCCTAGTGTTCACTAAGGCCTAGTGTTCACTAAGGCCTAGTGTCCACTAAGGCGTCTCGTCATAGACACGTCAGCGTAGCGTATAACATGACGATTACGCAACGCTAGAGTTTCTGTCCACTTGAGCATATTGGAAGCGTATAGGAAGCGTACAAGAAGCTTCATTTTCCTCATTCGCAAAGATATCGGGCGACAAAGAGAACCTTATCGCCTTATGTTGTATTTATATTCGACAGCGTAAAAGTCGGAAAAGATATTGGTCACATCCTTACATAAAAAAGAACAAATGATCAAGTATTTCATTCCTTTTATAGAATGAATAAAAATACGTGCATGAATTTAGTGCGTTTGGTAGTTCCGATAATCAAAAAACAAGAGACTAAAATGCGATGTTGTGTTAGCCATGTACAAACGTGGGTATTTTTTCTATTTTTTCTATTTTTTTTATATTTCATCGGTAACTTTTCAACAATCAGTACGAATTTCACGGCCGACATATTTCACACTCAAACACAAATTAAAATTTTGCGTCCTTCTATACGCCTAGCGGCAGACATCGTTGACGACGCGCTTCATGCCGAACGCATGCTGCGACGAAAACATGACGCTGAAGCGTATGCGGACACAGGTCCATTGTTTTACATTAGTCGCTACATGGAAGCGTCCTGCAAGCGTCAAATATCTATGAAGCGTCTATGACGAGACGCCTTGGTGGACAGTAAGCCTTAGTCTTGTGTTTACTCTGTGTAAAACCATTCTTTAACCCTACCTCACGATTTGAATTAACGATACTCTGTAGATGGGTGAGGGAGTTCCTAGACGAGGAGAACCAAGGCTTGGACGCACTGATAGACTACCTCAGCTTCAGGTTACTCATGATGAGGCACGAGCAGCGTCTTTTAGAATCTCACGCGAGCTCCGAAGAGAAATTGCAAACCGGTAAGCATCGGTACGCTGCAACGTCCAACGAAATGTCCATTTTAAGGTAGCTCACGCGTTTGGTGTCGTATCTAGCTGGGGCTCCATTGGCGTTTTATACTTTTTATCAATTTAATTTGAATGATTGATATTTTAAACTACTTCAAAATATTGAAATAGAAAAACAATTTCCAAATAAGTGGAAACAAAATTTGTTTTGCTTATTGTAAACAAATTTAACTTTTTTTTTAATTTTTATGAAAAAATTGGAAAGTTCGTCAAACAAACCAAAGGTTAAAAAATTCTACGTCATTTCCTTTTTGAGTTATGTCCAAAAAACCGATTTTTTATTAACAGAACTACTTTAGGAAATTTTTTATACAAGAAATAACGTCATATTCGGATTCAGCACCCAAAAAAACATACAGATTCCAGGTTTTAGCTATTTATTCTTAAAAAAGAGGATTTTACCGTTTTTCGTTTGCGCTCCAATAATATGAGTAAAATGGGTCCATTGCAGATATAATTTTTATGATTTCTTAGTTACGATGAGTACTCTCAAAAAATATATTCCAAATCCGGTAACTCCATTCCGTAAAACTGAATGTTTACTTGTGAGTTTGAAGAAATGTAGGAGTAACGGCCTCCTACCGCTTGATAAATTTATTTCAAATACAGAAATAAATGTTAAACCTGAATATTAATTTGGCATAAATTTCAGTAATTCCGAGACCAAGTGGTATAGAAAGTCCTTCCCTTACATCACTTTTTCCCCAAGCGGAAGCAGAGTTTGCTCGTGAGGGTACACAGTGCAATTTTTGATCAACACAATTTTCAAACACAAATTTTTTTTATTTACTTGAATGTATAATAAATAAAGGCCAGGGAGTTTTCATCATATCTTCTTTGCATTATTTAAACAAAATTATCACATTTTCGGGTTGTGAAAGGGGAAAGGGCCCTGAAGTCGAGGAACGACCAGTTTCTTGAACATCATCAACATTAAACTATACAAATCAGCGCGAAACGGGGTGCAGTTAAGTGGGATCTTAGTGTAATTGGTTAATGGGAACGGAGGTTGGCGTAATTATTTTTCAGCCGGTACCGGGGATACTTCACCCCTAAATAATGGATGCCTCAGGCCGCCCCTCCACGAGCTCAAGGATAGTCCTGGCGTTAGGAGGAGGTCTCGGCACGTGGCCCGTTTGAATATGGGCGAGGCAAAAGACGACATCCACGTTTGCATACTGTGCATGCGTGCCATCATGAACAACAAGGTACGAAAATGTTTTCGAGGGGAACTGGTACAAGGACTACGGCTTCGGCGAGACCGCAGATTTTGTCAGCTGTTGCTTCGTTTTGGTTACCCATTGATTTTTATCACTAGACTGCGGATTTTTATGCAAATTCATATTTTTCATATTACAAATGTTTTGCATGTCTTACGTAAAAGACAGATGACCGAATGTGTTACATATTTTCTACATATTTTTGCGACGCCATGGAAAGACGCCCTGAACTTTTGTTAAACGACCTTTACAATCCATTCATCTGAAGACGATTGAGTCGAAAGGGTTGCTAAGAGGAGTTTGTTTTAAACAACTTGACGGACCTGTTTTGAATTTGTTGTCTTTTAATGTTGTAGAAAGTTTTGTTAACAAATAATGTTTTGTGTTAATATTGTAGATAAATAAATAATATGTCGTACTATAGGACATCTCGCCATAATAATATTTTACATACTTTCTTCTGTTATCAGTTTTCTTTACAACAATTTATGAATTATGAATTACGATTCATGATATTTCCATATTATAACTATCGTATGAGCAGTGAATAATAAGCCTGATCAGTATAATATGAACTCACTCTCAGTAATATCCAAAAACATGTAAATAGTAACCTTGAGCACGTTATAAAGTAGAGTAGCAGAAATGAATCAGGATGTTAGTTTAATTTAATTGTTTTTGGAGGGCTGATCGTTAGAAATATTTATTAATTTTCGTACAATGCCTAAAGCAAGAAGTGTCAAACAAATTATAATTGACAAATGGATAAGTGAAATAGCTGATATAAATTTTATAATAGAAGGAGACATTGTTAATTACTAGACTTGTAATAAACAGATTAACTGTGATTGAAAATCACAGTTGACTCATTCGGTAGGATTACTTCCTACATATTTTTTTCATATTTCCTGCATATTTCCTGCATATTTGTTACATATTTGGATACGTTGTAGCTGCATAAAAATCCGCAGTCTATTTATCACCTTACTGTCCAAGTTAGTGATGGTTCCTTTGTTTGGTTCTACGAATTGTTATAAATATTGTGGACATCAGATTCTTAGTTGTCCTAGTCGAGCCAAATGGTTGCTATTAGGTTTAGTCGTAAATAACTTTCGTTTTCCTTTTTTGAATTTATATACAAGACATTTACAATTAATATCAATCTGTGACAGGTTACTCATTACTAGACTGATTTGTGTGCAAAATAATACTTTCTAAAGTAATTTATGAAGACAGGAGCAAATGTAGAAATTTATTTTTCCTCTTAAGTATCTGATTGGGTTCAGACTAAAACAGAAAAATCATTAGAACCGATGAAAATTTTATTTTTTATTGTATTTCACAGAGCCCTGTAAGCTATAAGTGCATAAAATCCGCAGTCTACTCATTACGATTGAACATAAGAATTGATATCTGGACCCCAGGTATTAAGTCCACTTTTTTTTAAAAATTATATTTTACATGTTTCTCGTATCAGAATTTTCACTTTTTCCGATGGTAAAAATTATTTCGTTCGAAGTCGTTTCGTTTTTAACCCTTGTTTGGGGAACCAAAATATTCACAGTTATTGAGCAATTAGAATATTTCTGTTCTGACAGATTAGATAATCATAGATAATTTTACTTTCATACTTTTCAGAAACTCTTAGTTTTCCCTACCTATAATATACCAAGTGCTGTTTTAAACAAGAACATACAAAATTGTGAAAGAAAATTTAGAAATGGGTATCCTGTTCCCTACATTTCTCCTGAGTCAAACAATCTAAAGTCCATCACACAGGGTACTTAATGCAATGTTCACGATTTCTACATATCCAGACTTGTTTTAAGTCCATTCAATAGTTCGAAGATAGCGATTGTTTCTCGTTGAATTCATACCAAAGGGTTCCAAAGTTACAAGGTTTTCACACCATTGATTTACTCTTTTCTAAAGTTTGGTAAGTGTGACTTAATATATTCTAGCCCTGGGGTCCATATATAGAGATTAATTATACTTATCAGTCATTTGATTATTGTTTAATAATTTTTTAGGGTCCATGATAGAAGTTATGTATGACCCAGCCCAATAGTAAGATCAACCCAAAGTAGATGGAATTAGCTTTCTACTGAGTTCTCATGGTTGTCCATTTTTGGTGTTTATGAAAATGATAGATTTATTACCAAAATAATTTTTATATACTATTAATAATTAGGAAACAATATGCCCGTTGGAACAGGGGATGTTTAGACAGAAATAGATTTTTATGGACTCATTCGCACAAATTGAAATTACACAGAAATTTGTTTGCTCCATTACAAGTTTCAGCAGATTCTAAAATAGAATTGAAACTACTTCGTGAAGCTTTAAAACCATCTTCTAATCTATATTTGAATAATCTTGTAGAGTATAAATGAAACCTGTATAAATAGATTGCGAAAGTTTGTGCAAGTCCAGAATTTTTTCTGGGCGAATTTACGAAAACAACAATTGAATAAAAATTGATTTTCTCGATTAGTAGTTTCGTTAGCTTTAAAACTAAAATATTACATTAAAAATTAATAAAGATCCTACTTCCTTGTATTTTGAATCGTCACATACTCTATAAATGCACGAAATTCTCAGCCTATTCGAAGCAGTATAGTATATACCAGACAGACAAACTGACAAGTCAAATTTAACCCGCTAATTGCATTTGTCTACCACAGTAAACGACTACTTCATAACTTTTAGTGACAATATCTGGAACATTTCCTCCGATCGACAGTGCAAAACTTCTTCAAATGACAATCAAACGTTAGAAAAATGGTGTTACTGTGACTATTAGTTCGTCATTTATCATGAGCAAACATATTCTCCATAAAAAAAATTATTTGAAAAAATGTTTTAACCCTTATCTGCTGCTATCCGGTCAATGTGACCATAACGCTATTTAAAACTTTAAAAATGCGGTTAGGTAGAGAAAGAAAAGCATCACATGGTTGCACAACTTGCCATACACCTGTGTGCTCACAATGCTCGTGACATATTTGCAAGGAATACATATGAAACTTTCAGCTTTACCATTTTTGTATCTAATAAGATTATGTTTACTTCAATAAATGCTATAATTTTGACGATTTGTTCTATTTACTTATGTATTTCACTTTAAGAATGAAGGGGAGGGGTGTGGTGAAACAAATACATATTATAAGGGAAAATTTAAAGATGTAATTAGTGGTAACTACTAATCTTTAATGTAATGAAAATACATATAGAGAAAATACGATTTAAGCGTGTCGGTCAATTTGACCGGCTAGCAGTGTGAGCGTACCTATAATAGCTTCGCAGCAGTTACGGGTTAATAGTCCTAAAATGACTATTGGTTCTTGATTTTATGAAACAAATTTTTGGAGAAGATATCAACAAAATGCAGTGAACGGATTAAGAGTTAAATGAAATTGTTCAAATGACCAAACCATTTTACACATTCTGTATTCCAAATAAAATTTCTGCAAAATTATAATTACAATTTTTCATACCAAAACATTACCAAACGTTGAGAATCTATGTATTTTTTTTTCTCTAATTCTTTCACGTCGAATCAACTACCAAAAGTTATAAGCAACAACAATGTCCAGTTATGAAAATTAAACAAATTAAAATTCTCTACTGAATTTTACGATTACATAAATTTTGTTACAGTACGGCTTTAACATGGTGATTCAGCATCGAGAAGCAATCAATTGCATCGCGCTTAGCCTGATGCACAAGAGTTTAAGGTAAATAATAAATTATTCACCACCTTCTTTTCAAAGCTTATTAATTCCAGTTACAAATTCGGTTATTTATTAAGATCGCAGAATGGAGACAAGAACGTTTATATTTCAGGACGAAAGCCCTAGTGTTGGAGCTTCTTGCTGCGATCTGTCTCGTGAAGGGTGGCCACGAAATTATTCTCTCGGCCTTCGATAACTTCAAGGAAGTGTGCTCGGAAAGGCGAAGATTTACAACCCTTATGGCGTACTTCACCCAGTACGACAGTTTTCACATAGAATTCATGGTCGCCTGTATGCAGTTCGTGAATATCGTCGTTCATTCGGTGGAGGATATGAATTTCAGGGTACATTTGCAATATGAGTTCACGAAACTCGGATTGGACGAGTATCTGGAGAAACTTAGGCATACCGAGAGTGAGGATTTGCAGGTTGGTAAATCGTTGGTCTGGTATACACTACCTGCCAAAATTTTGGAATCAATTGCTAATTTCTACCAACATCCTGATAAATTTTGTACTGGCCGTAAATGCGTTATTTTATTTACGTTTATCGGTAAAACATTGCCCCAAGTTTCGTAAATGCAACATTTTGATACACAAAAAGTAACGCACAAAAAATTTTGTTGATAACATTTATCTTCTTTTTTATACACTATCATAAATAATAAATATTTATACGTGTAAAAATTGTCTAATTTCACTGTTTGGGGCTTAATGGATTAATATACCAAAGATTAAGAATATATTTTATTTTAAGAGATTTTACCATTTTCTTATACTCAATAAGTATTTTTGTGATCTTTCTGACTGATCTTTCCCACTGCTTGAAAAGATATTTGATTTTCGTTTTATATAGGAGCACATGATTCTTTTGTTCATCCAATGGGAGTCCAGTGCTACAATACTAAATTCTAATGCCCAGAACATGCAGGACGTTATTAAATCTAAGGTTCTTTTTTGGGGACAAAAGGGCAAATTTAAAAGAAAATACATATCTCTGTGCAAAAAATGGTACAAAATGTTGCTTATTAGTTTTTTGTTAGTTACTTTAAAGTCGTTTATTGTTTCTTATAAGGATCCTGTGTCTCATACTTCGCATAGTGATTCCAAACTTTTGGTTGATAGTGTACGTTCTTACGGCCGAAGAAGAAATTTCGATATCGAAAAATATTCGAAGACATTAATGAATCGTCTTACTACTCAAACGAAAAGTCTATTAGACTAATAAGATAAAATTTATAATATATTAAACTGATAAAACATTTAAACCTTTAGACAATAAAGATAGATTCTAGATCTTGTAATTACAGTACGGAACTGATGAAAATCTCATAAACTGGGTTTTTTCTTCAATTCTAACTGAATTATACTAACTTAAATAGTGAGAAATAATTTCCTTATTGTTGCAGTCTAATAGATTGAAAATATACAGGGAAGAAATTTAAGAAAAATAGTTTCCCGTTTAGAGAAGAGCACTTATTATTTGGACACCGATTATGTAGACTATTGATTGTTTGGAAATTGGTTTCCTACTTATCGATTATCCGGCTGTGTAAACTAAACTGTAGAAATAAATGCAGTACAACTGTTACTATTGAAATGACTAAACAATATCTATTAATTTTTCATAATTTAACCTATATTGGAATACGTTTTTTGCTGCTTGTTTTCATCTGGATAATCGAACTTGTTTGTAGACTGCGAATGTTTATGCAGGTATAATATGCCGAAATATGCAACATACATACGAGGAACACGTTTACATATCTACAAAATATTTGACATTGTATTGTTTTATTTAGCAATATTTAAATTAAAGTATACTACAATAGTTTTTTCTGTATTATAATTATATGTAATTTATACGCCTAAGAAGATTATTGCTAAGTACAGTTACTTTACTTATTTCCTATAAAAATATGCATTTGCATAAACATCCGCAGGCTATTTATTAAAAATACCTGAAAATCGGTATCTGCTATATTGTTTCAGTATTTAGCACTTATCTGCAGTTTAATTTTTTATTATATTAAAAAACTACCGACGTAATAGTATACTCTAAACTTTAAAAACTGCTTCTAAAAGTCAATTTCATATGCATGTTACTTTATGTCATAGAAATATAGCGCTAACTTCATTTTATTTTGTACATAAATGGTGTATGTATAGCTTCATTAATAAGTGAACAGGGGGTGTTGAATATATTTGGCAAGATTTTGTCTAAACCTCTAAATATTTCAAAAGTATATTTATTGACTTACTCCACTAATATTCTCAAGGTCTCATATTTCTATTCGAAGTTTGTATTATACGAGACGTTCAAACGATTGATGCTGGAAGCATTACCATATCCATATATTATTCAATTTATAAATCTGTTTTTTTTTTTAAATCACAAGTTCATGAAACATTTTCAAAATATATTCTTTGTATTTCATATTAATGTTTCTTCTGCAGGTTCAAATCTCTGCGTATTTAGATAATGTATTCGATGTAGCTGCCTTAATGGAGGACAGCGAAACTAAGACTGCCGCGTTAGAAAAAGTTGCTGAGCTGGAGGATGAACTTGGTCACGTAAGTGTCTCATAGTCTTGCAAGACTTGTCCAGGTACATACAACCGACCGTTTTACCAAATATGTTGCATAATAAAAACAGGCGCACGATCGAATGGCGGAATTGGAAAGAGAATCCCTGGCGAAATTAGCGGAGTTAGAGACTGAACTAGGTGCATTAAAAGTAGAATATTCTGACGCGGTGGACGCACGACGTTTAGTCGAAGAGGAACTCACAGCCCTGAAGAGACAGAAACAAGATTCTGCTCGACGGCAGAGCGTGCTGGAGAACAAAATCATCGAGCTGGAAACTCTTACGGGTACTCTTACTAAAGGTAGCACGGGTATGTGTCCATTTTCTCAATGACTAGGACTGTTGCACTTGGACTGCTTGGTTTCTTCTGTTTCAGAGGTACACTCCCGGTCATAAGTATCGGGACACTTTTGAAATATGTAGTAAATGTTACAAGGCAATTTCAAATTGCTGAAAGACTCAACTAATTATTGTATAGAGGACATAAAAGCTGGATGGATAACGTTTATGCCACTATAAAGTAATAATGTGGCTTAAAATATAAAGGGTGTCCCGTTTATTGACGATATTAACACCTTGCCCTATGATTTTCTTGATGTCTGCAGTCTCCAGAATTACTTTATCATCAATAATTCCCCAGAAACGAAAGGAATTCGTGTACTTATCGCAATTGTACATTTACTCTATTAGTTAAATATTAATATCAGCAAACTAGTATTTCACTTTGACTCGAAGAAAACGTATAATATTTCTGTTTGTTGAATCCATTTTGATATCGTCACCACAACTTTGACTCGATGTTATAAGGCAAGGGGTTAAATAATATTTCAGAGAAAAGTTGAATGGTATCAGGGGGCACACTTTCTAATGTGAGTAACTTTTTTCTATGTGAACGTGTAGAGGTCATATGAAGGTCAACTTTGTTTTTTGAAATTGAATCGTATATTTTTTTAATGCACTACTTGATGCTACACGTTATTCCCTATATAAAGTACTAAGTCACTTATGGCGGATTAGTGCATTAAAAAATATACGATTCCATTTAAAAAAGGAAGATTGACCTTCATATGACCTCTAAGGATTCACGTAGAAAAAAGTTACTCGGTTTAGAAAATGTGCCCCCTGATACAATTTAACTTTTCTCTGAAACATTTTTTAATATCGTCAATAGTTTCGGAGATATTCTAGTGGGTCGATTTAAATGGGACACCCTGTATCATTTTTTACGAAACGTCACATTGTCTTCATACAGATCACGTGTCCTAATGCTTATGAATGGTAGTGTACGGAGTAACAAATTTTTAACACTGCCAATCGAAGGGCTACATCTACCTTTTTTAATAAAAGTTTCATTAACACTAGAACTACCAAACAAGTACAAATGACTTGTCAATACACTCTTATAACGATGATTAAAATGTTACAACAATATATTTTCTCAGATCTTGTGCAACTTTTGTTACGACATGAAAGTGAACAAATTAGTTACTTTATAAATCTGTACGTTTTCAAAAATTTGTCATGTTTAACGATCAATCGCAATAGATATGCGTTTATCGTCGGTAGTTCTAGTGTTGAAGTGAGGCTATTGATGGAAAAAGGGCACATAAATCAATTTTTTTTAATCTCATAAAAAAGACAAATATTATCTTGAAACCATAACTTCTGTTTTCAGAACGTGTGAATTGGTTTTAATTGTATCACTTTTTATTAAATAGTACTCTAACGAAAACTTTGAAATCGATTTTCTCGAAATAGCATTTTGGCGTATCTGCTCTTTTTCTAGCAATGGCCTCAATTATGTTATATAACAATCATAATTTTATTATTGTGTTCTGTATGTGTACTTGCATATGATGTAAAATCCGAGATTATACCAGATGTCCTAGAATCTTTTTATCAGACTTTCTAGGTATACATATACTATTTAAAAAAATAATAAAAAATAAATATTGCTTAAACATAGATAGACTAGATTGACATCAAATAAAAGTACATTGAAGATAAATGTAGCTAATAATGAGATTAAATTAATTTTATCAGCTTATTTTTTCACATGTAATTTACTGAACAGGTTATCACTACTGTTTCTTTCATATGTCATACATTCACAACAACCTTTTAATGGATTTGTAATTGATATACATATGTAGAACATTTTTTTATTTTTACTTATAGAGTTTATTTGCCATCTTCTGTAAATAAAATTGAAACACACGTATGTGCTCCTGAATCTTAACTGAAAAACAGTATTTCACGTGCAGCAGTCTGTACTAAATAAATAAACAGATTAGCGAACCCTGTTTTAACTTTTAATGTATTTCAGCGGCGAATCTTCGTAATGGATCTGCGACGAGTCCTCTGAGTAATTCAGACAACGTGACGTCACCAACGTTTAATTCGAGTCCTTCGCCAACGTTGGAACAGAGCCCTCCACCGGCCCCAGCGCCACCTCCACCACCGCCACCCCCGTGTCCACCGCCGCCTCCCATGGCATCTCTTTCTCCGGGAGATCAAAAATTACCACCACCTGCACCTATACCTCCACCACCTGCCGGCATGATGCAAGCACCGGATGGAGCAATGACTATTAAACGAAAGGTGCGTGGACGGCTTAAAATAATACATAATGTACTGGTATTACACGTAAATTCGACAGTTGGCGTATGTGTAGGGTGTTTCAAAATTACCGTTACTAAATCAAAATTAACCTCTTAACGCCTGCCATAACATGTATGATAGATACCAAACACCTATCTTTTGCAAAGAAGCTTATAACTTTAAATGGTCACTTACTACTGTACTATATTTATACATACTATATCTGTACAACACATGTAAGCAGATACTGCATCATTTCCATTTTTTTCATAAGTTCACTGAAGTTAGTAATTCAGTTTTTGTATTAAGAATTCATCCTTCAGGTATTAAGGGGTTAATACGACAAGCTTGGTAATAAATAATAAAGTTTTCTTGAATTAATGAAACCGACTGAATTTCAAAATATTTCGTTGCTCTGGTTCTTAAGTGTTCTATCTTTACTAGTTTCTAAACTGAGAAAATTGAGTTTAAAGTTGACGAAGTTTAATATCATAGAAGCTGGAAAGTAGTGAAATAATGAAGCACACTATAATATCATCTATTGAATAGATACTTATTAAAATATTTAACAAAATTTTATCTTATTATCAATATAAATTTGTAATTGTTATTAGTATTTGGAGATACAACCATCAAGAAAAAAAACTTTCAAAGTTTTGAAGTTATGACTTAAAAGAATATTTGATGTTTGTTAGGTTAAATATTCTTTATATTATAATGAATTTCTATTATTTGTTCCAATGTGACGTACGCAGATTGATTAACTAAATTTTTTTGAAAAATAGAGTTGTAACAGTTAAGAACTCAGGCGACGATTTGTAATTGATAAATGCCAGGAGAAAACGTGTTAGTGAATCTCAAAACGGTTAGTGAACTCAACATTTCAATATGAGTTGATATTCTACACCTCTAAATACCTCAGAAGTATATTTATTGACTTACACTAATGCTTTTAGGGGTTCATTTATGTATATGTATTTTAACTGTATTTATCTATTACTCTTCATTGCATTTATACTTTTCAATTGCAGGTTCAAACGAAGTACAAACTTCCTACACTAAATTGGATTGCCTTAAAGCCTAACCAAGTCCGAGGCACCATTTTTAATGAATTGGATGACGACCGACTGCATAATTACATAGACTTTTCTGATTTCGAAGAACGATTTAAAATTGGAATTGGTGGACACATAGCTAACGGTACCAATGAAATTGACGGACTTCACAGCTTTCCTAGTAAAAGATTCAAGAAGCCGGAAAATGTATCACTTTTGGAGCACACAAGATTACGAAATATTGGTATGTAAACCTAAAACCGTAATGCTCTTCATTTTATACTTTAAAGCTTATGTATTTAGTTAGTATATTTGATATTTTTTTAGCTATATCGCGAAGAAAAATGGAAATGCCGGTAGAAAAAGTTATTTCGGCCGTAAACGCTCTTGACTTAAAAGTACTTTCGCTGGAAAATGTGGAGTTGCTTCAACGTATGGTGCCTACGGATCAAGAGGTATAATTTGTTTTTATTATGAAAATAAAATAATTAGTGACTCGTTAATGTTTGCTACACGGTCGCAATAAATACCCCTAACTTGTCCCCAACACATCTTGAGTTATTCTGTAGACTGACTGTACTTAACGTTTGACGATAGAAGTAACTATACATTATTAATCTAATAACAAAATTTTTGTTTGAAAATGTCTCCAAATACGAACTCTTTTATGCAACATTGACAGTAACAATAAAGAAACTTCTACATAAAACAATTATAAAGTTAATATACATTACAAAACTCAAAGTAGGTCGGTTGACTTCATATTTGGATTCCTTTTAACTGAGAATACTTCGCCCATTTGTATAAAATACTGTCAGTCAGATAACGTCGAGGTTGTACAAATTTTATTTTTCAATAATTCGTAATATGCTTTTGCCTTGAACTGTGACAGTTAGCGATTCCCAACTGTATCTCCCATACAAAGGACATAGTTAATAATAAAACCAAAATTTTATGATGTTACAGATCAAAGCGTACAGAGAGTATATAATAGAGAAGAAGAACGTTAACCTTCTGACAGAGGAGGATAAATTTTTGATGCAACTGGGTAAAGTGGAAAGGATATCCACTAAATTGTCGATTATGAATTATATCGGGAACTTTTTTGACAATTTACACCTCATCACTCCACAAATACATGCTGTGATATCTGCGGCGAGTACGGTGAAGAGCTCGAAGAAACTGAGAGCAGTGTTAGAAATTATTCTTGCTTTCGGAAACTACTTGAACAGTAGCAAACGAGGTCCGGCATATGGATTTAAACTGCAGAGCTTGGACACATTGCTCGACACGAAATCGACAGATAAGAGAATGTGCCTCTTACATTATATCGTAGCTACGATACGGGTCAAATTTCCAGAACTTATTAATTTCGAATCGGAACTGATGTACATCGATAAAGCTGCGACAGGTATGTGTACTAATACTTTTATTATTACACTGCAGATGTTGGCGCAAATACAGTTTTTGATATACAAATTTACAGAAACTAAAATGAACAAGAAATTTGTTTACTCTATCGAAGATATAACTAGCTTCCTAGTAAAATAAAAACGTAATTAAATTTTACGCAACACTTTAATATTTTAAGCTTTACATAAATGTGTATGAGAGAGATGCATAAAACCTGTAGTTCAATAATTACACTTGTTTTGTAACAAGCTAAGTCATATGTTAGTATAAAAAAATAATATTCTAGAATCACAGTACTATAATATTAAAAGCGAAGTCAAGAAACGACATAAAGAAAGAAGAATTTTCTAAATAGTAATAGTATGTTGTAAATGATAAATTTATGTGAGCAGTGAACGTTCCACAATCGGATAAAATATAACCTAAAATTTATATACATGTATTACTCATCTTTATGTCGTTATTTATATTAGCATATGATGTATCTTTCTTAGCATCTTACGCATATTATTATCCTCGTTTCAAGTAAGATTGTTCCTTAATCATTCGCAATATTGTTTTATTTTCTAATTTCAGTTTCTCTAGAAAATATAACTACCGACGTCCATGAGTTAGAAAAGGGTATGGACCTTGTAAGAAAAGAATTCGAGCTTCGTGGCAAAGAGAAACATAACACGGTACTGCGAGATTTCTTAAATAACTCCGAGGAAAAGTTACGCCGACTAAAATCGGATGCTCGAGCAGCCGGTGAAGCGTTTCGAGAGTGCGTTGAATTCTTCGGAGAAAGTCCGAGACAAGCCGACGCTAATACATTCTTCTCTCTTCTTGTTAGATTCGCAAGGGCATTTAAGGTAAACGTTTCTTACAACAGCTCGATGCGTATAAAATGTCTTTCTATCGTAGTCCGTACTTCACAATACTAAATAAATGAGTACTAATAATATGAGTTCAGTGATATTTAATTTTTGTATTTCTTTGCATTGTGTTGAAGAATAAAGAATGTCTTCTGATCAACACATTTTAAATTAGCACAAAATGGCTTTTACAGAAAATTATGTGAAGGAAAAATTAGAATGTAGTTCAGTAGAATGATAGAAGATTTTAAGTAGAATTATAAATACTTATATATTCTAGTTTATTTTTTGAATTGTTTACAAGAGAATTTCCATATTATTTAATAATTCAGTTGCAGCTTTAAAAACAGTATCAGAGTATTTTCTGAATTTCACATTTGGATTTCACAATTTCTAATTTCTACCAAGTTAGTAAAAAGAAACTAGTTAGTGTTAGTAAAAAACGAAGGAAGAACATTATATAAAATTATTACAATTGTATATAAAACATTTTAAGAAATAACTACATAGTCTTAATAACTTGAATTTAAAACAAACCCTTGATATGCATCAACGTAATGCACAAATTCCCTATAATTGTAGATGAAAAGTTGCTTCCTGAGTCCATTTTTTGAGGCCATATAAAATCTTAAACTCTCGACCACCTAAATATTAAATGTTTTAACTTTGATTTTAGTCCAAAGCACTTTCTACCTGCACAATTTTAATTATAATTTTTTTTTTTATGAATTGTTCTGTACGGTCGAAGAAACTGAATCAAATAAGAGATCCATTTAAATGTATCTATGTTGAGTTGGCAACAGCTATGAAAAGTCAACTCTAACTAAAGCACATTTACTAATCGTTGGTGTAGATTAAGGAAAAAGGTAATGCAAAGCAAAGTATTGTTACAGGCTGCGGATCAGGAAAATGAACAACGACGTAGATTGGAAGCTGCTGCTGCGGAAGCTTTGAATACCTCGGAAGAAGTCATTAAACGAAATAAATTAAATCAAAAGAAACAGCAGGTATACTTTATCGCTTACATATTTTTTATTTAATTTTATTTTTATTCTGAAACAAGCAAAATTATAATTATTTATATTTATTTTTACCGTCATATTTTGCACGTTATGCACTTAATATTTTGTATTTAAAAGAATTTAATTCGTATATTAACAAACTCTGTTGCAACATAAAAACAATTATTACGTAGTTGCATCTGATATGTGTAGTCTGTTTTCCTTTAGTCAAGCTTATTAACTTTGGATTTCTATAATTTATCGATGTAGCGATATCAATAGTGACTTATATTAAATTATTAAGTGCTGCACATTAAGTAAGAATATTATTTTGTATTTTTGTAACATTATATGCTGGAAGCTATGCTTACTGCATCAAACTAATTCCTTAGTTGCTCATTAGAATTAATCATATTCTTCGGTTTATTTCCGTCACTTCTAATGCATTTGTCTAATTCTTCTTACAAATATCTTTAAACATATAAAACAACATATTTTTCTTTATATCTTTCTCTCTCTGTCAACATCAATGCTATGAAATTTTTATTTATGTTTATTCACTAATTCTCAATTAAGAATATAAATTTCAGTTATGCACGAATATAATAACAATCTTTGTAACTGATGGTAAACAAACATTTAATTATACCAACACAAAAATTGCATTATAATAGAGACTGGGAAGCATTAAACAGACATCTACTTTCAAAAAAAATTAAACATTTTTAAAAAGATTTTTAAAAAAGTATTACTCGGTAATTTAGTTTCATAAATTGTGTAACAGAATACACATATACAATACATCTATATTACAGAAAAATTACGAAAATTTGTTCTTATTCTTTACAAATTTTGCAGAATAGTGAAATCACTCCAGAACTTTTTACCGATATTGGCAAATTAATCTTCTTAAGAATATTATTTTTATCAGTAACATCATGTCAGATGTGGATTGGACGCCTATCTAGAATTGCATGTTCTAATAACATTTGTCTAATATTTATATTTTACTTCTTTCACAAAATACATTTATACTTTCGAAAATCTAGCCAAACAAATTTTACATTAATATCTTCAACACTAGAAAATAGAAGCAGAATTAGTTAAATAGGTTGAAGTTAAATTCTACCTCATTAGTAGTCTAGGGAGCCAATATTATAATGCAAACAATTTCGCACAAACGTACCAGTTTGTTGCAAACAAATTTATTGTTTGATGCTTCCACTTTATGTGTGCGTCATGATACTAAAAGTTTACATTTTACTGTGCGACGGTGCAATTTCAAGCATACTTATGCATACAAACACATTTATTTATGTTTTTATAACAACGCATGGATTGTGCTTTACAAAAGAAGTCATTGCATACCTTTACACACATAACATTTCTTATTTATTAATACAATGAAAATCGAGGTGACATCTGTAATTATTGTATAACACATCTTAATTTGATTCATCTAACTTTTAACTTGTCTTGAAAAAATTGTTATATTTTTAATCGCAAAATTCCAATAATAAGCGCGAAATATAATTTTGAACAAAGAACTAATTTGCCTTACTAACAAGGAGATGTTACAACAGCAAAATCCCAGACAAATGTTTATTATATTTTGCATAAAAATACTCAGGCACATATCTTATAACGCTTGTATCCATTGTTTATATTAAGATTTTACATATTAAAATTTTGAACAATTATTTAAACAATTACGAAAAAAATGTAAAATAATTATACATAAGTGAATAAGCAATACATTTAAAAACTTCATAATACTAACATATGAAATGATTCTCCGAAAATAACATACAGAATAAAAGTTTCAAGATTCATATACACAAACCTTGAATTCTAAAAGCATGTTTTTTACTACAAGTCTAACAGTGTCGAATAAGAAGTGTTATTTTAGTATTTTCGTATTTGTTTACAAAACGGTCATATTCATTACTTTACTAAATAAAGCAGGAAACTTAAAACCTACGACACAAAAACTGCAACATCTCCTTAACAGTGTCTAAGTTAAAAGAAGACTAACAACGTTTAGAAATAATATTCCTAAATTACAATGCTCGCGCGAAACTTAACTAATTCACAAGGCATTTCTTTTCGCTGCATGTTGTGAAATAGCATGTTATATCACAGGGATGATTTACACAACTATAATAATTATTATTTCGAGAGTGCTCTTTTCGCATTTTTTTTTGTTGTTTTTTTTTGGTCGTTTTTCTTTTTCTGAACAGACGAAATGTCTAATCAAGGTATCTCACGAACATCTATTTTTCTTATTTGTTACATATTTATTTGGATTTAAAGTCACCGAAATTTTGCTGTAACACGAACAAGAGTCTGTTACACCGGCATCTTAATGAACTGGAGCTCAGAACGTAACAATATAGTGAACGTAACAATTCACAACATGTAAGTCTGTGCTCACTCACTTCCTCCTAATAACATATAATATAATGATTGCACTCGCACATACACTGCACTTAGACAACACATGTGTAGGTTCAGCTTTTATTATCTGTACAAAAAACACAATTCGATAATACTTGTACACCACGTTCGAAAACAGTTCTCGAACAATTTTCATCTATTACGATACAACCGGAACCAATGGGTTAATTTATATTGAATTGGACAGAAAGTTTTTGCTTTCTCTATGGAATGCCACTATAATCTCCTGTAACACCAGACGTTTTTTTAATTTTTTCGATGAAGTCCTTTTTGTCACGGCTGGTTACTATTCTATCATATACTTTTTCCACAACTGTATTCTGAGCTTTCAGTTTAAAAATCATTCAGAAAAGTCAAATAGTATAATTAATATTCATTTGGACAGTAAAATATATTAATAAAAATTTATGGAAAGTAAAGTCTAGTTTCAGAGATTTTGATCAGAAGATTTTGATGTAGTTAATACGCTACATTTTGGGCACCTGAAGGCAACAAGTCTAGATGATTTAAGGCAATAACTGCCATAACTCATCGCATCATTACTAAAGCACTCGTGATAAAGTTTAATGTTTTGTTTGAACACTCCGTCATATTTAACAAGAAAAAAATGCAAAAACGTTCCGTCTAATCTAGTATAAAAACAAATGTTATGAAACCTAAAATTGGTATCCCGAGCGTACATAGGATATTTAGCTACTGGTCTCAAAAGCTTTAATGTGTGATTCTACGTGTCAAAAAGAAACAGAAATTAAGAACGACAAAATTGTGTTGGAGGCTTTGTTTTCAAGTTATTAACACTCAATAATTGGGATCAGAAACGCCTGAAACCAGGCAATCTGCGTACACGTGGTAAGCGTAGGGCACGACAGTACCGACACGTATACTGCGAATATTCAACTCTTCATAACTTGAAAATGAAGCGTCCGACACAATTTCATCATTCCTGATTTTCGTTTTATTTTGACATAGAGAATCGTTCCTCGGCCTTTTTAACATCAGTAGTCGAACACCCTGTATACTTTGCATGGAAAAACAAACCAAAATATGAAATTTTTTCATCGGATATTTGGTCTCTTCCCGATAATTTAAACTAGTTAATTTGATATTCCCATTGGGAAAATGATCCATCTTTTAATTAAATACAGATATTGTAGTTTCTGTCTTATAATTTATTCAGCCCCCGCGCAAGAAAACGAAGTCCATTCCTAAAATATTTTCAAGGAGTACTGAAAAATTAGACGAAAACATTTGTTTAACATTACGGAATTAAAGGCGCGAAAGGTGTTGAATGCATCCATGTATTCAAATGCAAATAACAGAATTGTATATTCGTTCGAAGTTAGAATGAAAGATTTGTTAAATTAAAAATTCGAAAAGTTACTTTTACAGAGAACTGTTTTCCGAGATCCGTGGTGTAGATACATATCCACTCGATTTATATCATTAACAGAGAATCAAAAGATGCATCGGCATGTGTTCTAGCTTGCATTGATGTTGCCTGAGAAAGTCCTCTATTATCACTTTCCTATGCTACTGCAGAGAATCTCATAGAATTAGACGCATATGAATTAACGTTACCACAGTTGAGAACTTCCAAGTTCCATTAGGTGTATTTGATATTAATTAATAATAACAATACAGTCCAGCTATGAATAAAACTTTATCTATAAGATACTAATTAGACGCTTTCTTACTTTAGAGATGCAATAGCAACTTCCACAAAAGCATTACAGTGGTGGTCAAAAGAAAGTTTCAGAGTGTTTGTAATATATCTTAATTTAATATAATCGTATTTGGTTGTTTTATGTCTACCTATAAAGAAATTTAGCTATATTTAAATTTTTTGTATGCAGGAGGTTGTTTCAAAGTAGATTGTTCGAATGTTTAAAAATATTTTTTACGAAAATAAATGTGAAAAAAAACGAACACTATTCCAACAACGTCAATGTAATTTTTTGATGAATTGGGAATATGTAAAGCTAGATTAATCATAATTTTATTCTTTTAACAGCCTTGTATTTCATTGGCCTTAGTTAAATCTGATTTATTTGGTATTTTTGAAAGTATAAATATTAGTGGATAATACATAGATTATCGATAGTTTCTTGTTTATATTAAAATAAAAATTTAAATATGTTGAAACTGAGTTTATTTTACTTGTTTTAATAGTACATACAAGCTGTTTCAAAATCTATTTCCTCTGAAACTTTACATGTTTATCCAATCCACGTTTTTTAAAGTTTCTTTTAACCACTGTTGTAGATAATGTTTTCCTCTCACATTCTTAGTCTTTTTTCTACTAAATGACTACACTATATTACGTTTGAAAAACTTCTGACGTTCGACTGGAATCTCTTTATGAGTCATAATTGGCAAAATTCTTAATTTTCTACAGAAAAACGAAAAGAGACAAAGAATATACTAGTCATTTCAGAAAATGACAAAAGAGATCTCCAAATATTCGAAAATATTTTATTATCTATACATATGTATTTATTAATATTATGCGCTGTAACATAATTAACATAGGAAAATAATAACTTAAGAAAATAAACATTGTTTCAAGAAGCAATGTAACAAGGGAAAGTTTAAGTTGTAGAAAAAAGTTTGTAGCAATTTTCAAAAGTTGTCTATCGCAATGGATATGTTTATAATTTGTTTTACGTTTATGACGCCAATATGTACCCAGAAAAGTCATTGTTTTATTAAGTTCTTACATAGGAGACTGCGTTCAGAACGGTTTTACTACAAAACCGCAATTTTCTAACTATTTTTAACTACAACATTTTTAGCAAAACAATTACAAGCAAATTTTAGAATATCAATTTTTACGAAAAATAGTTTAGAGGTACAAAAATTCGGAGTTTCCGGATCGACTAAATTCCGATCTGAAATTGTAAGTCTATTAAGTATTATGTATATTTTACAATAAATAGTTTGGTGACAAAAAAATAATTTTGTTCGTATGTAATAAAATCAAAAATAATATTTTCGGAGTATCCAAGAATATGCAATTTTTCAGTTCTATTAAAATTTAAATGAATGAAAGTATAACAAATGTAATACTTTCTGCCAAATGTTGTACCTCTCTTTTTTCTAGAATTTACAATTTAAAAACTTCTGTTTTGAAAGCAATCGACTCGACAACTATAGAATTTTCAAATTTGAAGTGATATCTGGACTTTAATTGTATTTATTGTCTTCTATATTGTCATCTAATTATATCCATTTCAAAAGACATCAATTTTTATTGCAGACTTCCCTTGTCGACATCACAAAATAATTAAATTATTTTTAGTATTAAGTAAATTTTATATGAAGCTGTACATTGATAAGATGAATGTTAAATCAGACTTTTGGTTTCCATTGCAGAACTATAACAAATTAATAATTTCCATATTGGCTTATGATATATTATACAATTGTTGTATTGCTATATTTCTAGTAATTTCCAAATTACAAATTGCTTTTTTTTTTACATTCATGAATTAACGATTATCTTTCTGTCTTTTAATCCATTTTGATTCAATCATGATGGTCTTCAAGTATAAAGTGAAATACACGATATTTTGAATATCTGATTTACAAAATACATTTATTAAATTTGATAAAGTTTATTTGTTAAACTGGCGGTCATATTAATATACGATAAACAAAATGACATTCTGAATATATTAATATTAAATGTAACATGAATTAATAGTAAATCAATGATGTCTTCAGAATCCACAAGATGATCGGATACATTTACGACCAGCTGCATATTTCGTTTTATATGAAAACTTAATTATTAATTAGTTATTTAAATTGAATACTACTAACAATAAATAAGATCTGTGCAATAGCACAAATGAATATTTCAATATAATTTTCGATGAACAGTATTTATTGTTAGTATTTTCAGATAATTCGTCCGTGTTGTGTCTAAATAGGTTAATCTTTCACACAATATCCTGACTCAGTTACTGAACAGACGACTAAGAGATGATTAATAATTCCGCAGGACGCTGTGATAAACGAATTAAAAAACAAAACGAGATTGGTTCAGGAGAAGAAACTGTTGCAGCAGGATGAGGTTTACAATGGTGCTCTGGAGGACATTCTTCTTGGGCTTAGGTCGGAACCCTATCGCCGAGCGGATGCGGTTAGGCGTAGTCAACGTAGACGTATCGATAATCACAGACTCTCTCGCACCGCCGAAGAATTGGAGCTTTAAGTTGTCTTACGTATAATCGTAATCTTAGAAAACAAATTGTTTCTATCTATAAGGAGGACCTTGATTCAAGCTCCTACGAACATTGCTAATACCGACTCAAGTAACTCTTTCAAGCGCAGACATACTTTTTATAACCATTGTATTTAGTAGTATTCATAACGGTTATAAAAAAAGTTTCAATCAACACTATGTAGGTTACATAGTTAATATACAGAATGCTTCATTAATAACATCATGGGGAAAGAACAGAGTAGATTCAAGAGTGACATAAGTTTTATGAAATGAGATCACAATGTAACTACATAACAGGTTTGCTTTTAAATATCATTCTACCAATTTTAGGTATAATAAGGCATAATACCTCATCCTTATATTCCTAGTTTTTGTATGTTATTACTTAAATAATAGCAATAATTTTTACTCCGTCACTAGAGAAGTCTGGTTTGGGAAAATTAAAAGTCTGTCAGGTTTTTATATAAAGTACGGAAACTCAAACACAACTACAATTCAGAGAGTGTGTATCTTAATATGTATGTTACTTTCTACTCAGCTGCATAGGTATTCCTATTAATAATGAAACATTCTGTATATTTGCAATATTATTTAATTTTGTTTAACAATTAACACTAAAAACTTACGTACACATGTGTGCAACTTAAGAGAATTGAAGAATCTAATTGATGTTTAATGATACGCTTAACATATGTATACAACTAAAATACAACTGTGTAATCACGAAAGAGTTAATTGAGCGATAAGTTTTCGTGGAGATTTACAGGTATAATTGTAAAAATTGCAGAAGAGAATGAAACTTTCAAAATTGATATTGAATCGTTACACATATAAGCCACTCATAGAGTTCTAAATTAATGTGCCAAGAATTAACATCACTTTCAGTTAAAAAGAACTATTTCAGTGGCATTTTTAGTAAATTGTAACAAAGCGCCGACATTCTGTTAATTGTTCAATGTGTTTTCTCTTTGTTGTATAAAGCGTTAGGGAGAAATTAGTTTAGGGACGCACATTTAAAAGAGAAATTGTATGATTATTTTTGCATCGTTTTGCATAATTAATATCTTTATACGATTAGACTCGGAAATTGTTTCCATTTAATTATTGTTGATTGTTACACGCGCTTGAGATATTTATAATTTTTGAATTTAATCGATATCTGTTATTCATTTGTTCGAGGGAGTTTCTAAGGAAAGGCGGGGACGAAAAATCGTATAATACGAGGCGCATTTATTTCGAAACGGAATTGAAGTATTAAGTTAAATGTGTATGAAACAACTGCCGACAAACTACAGGTACTAATTAAATCACATTCCATGGATGTAAGGAACCAAAGCACCTCATGCAGTTTTTTAACGACAGAATAACTATTTTGCGCGGAAAGATACAAAAACAAAAGTTGCACATACTTACGCTTGAAATACGAAAGTTCCAGAATGCAAATGTTGCAGCATATTTTTCTGAAGGTCTGAAAGTCAATTCTCCGTCAATCTTCATTAACACAGTATAATTAAGTAGCAAACGGGCACTAGTGCAGTTTAGATTTTCCGAGAAATTTTCTAAAGAATCCCTTATTTTGTAACATGTAACACATAGAGTTAGCCACAGACTTGGTACATTCCGTCAGGACCTCAAGATATACGCTCAATATAACAATAAACACAAAATAGAATTTAGCACGGTCGTTTCCGCTATAACGCATACAATGAAATTATTCAAGCTGTATCTTACACAAACGAAATAGAATAGAATAAATTAGAAATAGGGGTATGGCATGTATTGACATTTCAAGATAATCAAAGTGATAAAACACACAAATAATTAAGTGATAGGATGTACAAGTATAGAAACTAACCTAATTTAAATTTGCAGGCATTATAATATACGTGAAAAATCGCGCTACAAAAGAAAAAACTTATTTTTTGATCATTTTTTCATGTAAACATGAATGAAGTGACATTATACTTCTTGAATTGAAATCAAACAGCATAGCATAATATATTTTGAAGTTGAGACAGATTTTTAGAAATCACGCCAATGCAAAGACAAACACTAGTCTTTGATATTCTGAATTTCTAGTTATACATAGTTTGCATAATGAAATAACGCGTTATAGTCGGCTCGACTGTAGTAGCAGCCCTTCGTGTTGTCCATTGCCGAGTAGCCCAAAAAGTAGTAGTATATCAGAGAAATAAATTATACGATTCATCTTTCGAAGTATTTTGAAATGTATTGCCAGACGAAGTTTCAGTAACATTACGCACAGATTTTCTACATGCCTTTTTCTGGGTGATTTTACATATCCCAAGTTTTTTGGAAAATAATAAAATTATATTTTCACTTTTCTACGTTTTTGATATTATATATTATCGATAAAAGAATGTAAATATTATTGTAATATATAAAATGCGCTGGTAGTTATAAAAGAATGTAATTACTACTAACTGTAGACGAATTGCCAATGTGATGTTTTAGATAAGTATAACATCTATATGTTATAAATATTACGTAAGTAATATTACTCGTTTCTGTATTACGAAGGAACAATTTCAATCAATTGCAACAACAAAAAATAAATAAAACGTATGTTATGTATTTTTTTGCAAAAGTGTAAATATTGTGCATTTTATTAAATAAGTTATGCGAAATAGGCATGTGCTTTACTTTGTATAAAATTATTACAAATAAAAATGATACCAATGTACCATACAATTACCATACACATATATACGTAGTAGTAATTCATGCATTATTCTCCACATTTGCGTGCCATTTTGTTTAACCGATGCTTCACAAGTTTAATTTTCCAGTAAATATTACATTTCCGCATTACTCAATCATTAGAGGTAAAGAAGAATTTAAAGAAACTAGTTTTTTTCTAAAGTTTTATTTTATTTATTATTTATGTGAATAGACTACATTATTACAATATTTCATCTAAAATATGTTTATATACAAATATACAATATACAAAAGGCACAATATATCTACATTCTTTAGATCATGTATAGCAAAATGCATACAAAATGACCTACAGACAATCAAACATACTGTCAATCATGCTTAACAATTTATGGTTGATTGTGGAAACTTAATATAAATCTTTCTATATCTATCTTGTGTTGTATGTATTTTGTAAACATCATATATTGTCGACATAACAATTACGCAAATGATCTACTGAATATTCTAAATTCAAACATTTTCAAGAATTTTTGAAGCCTCCGAAAATATGTCCCTGTAAATTAAAATATTTGTGCAAAACATCATGACTGACAAGCATGTTTGATCTTTTACAGATCATTTAAAAGAAAATTCAGAAATATAAATGAACACCGATAACGGATAGAACAGATCTATTGCTTTGTACGTACTGCAATATGTAAAAAATTGTGCTTATAAAAACATCTGAAAATAGTACTTAAATAATTTACATCATCACTCGCCACTTAAACTGTTCTATCCATTTCATTAAATGTTTTTGCTATTGTATGAATTTGCAAGAAAATATTCCAATGCGGACATACACTTTAATAAATGATAAACCAAGGACAGATACGGTACTGTTTATAAGGATTACTCATTGTTTTCAACTTATTTAAACTCAGTATTACAAATTCATCTTTATAAATTAATACAAATTTAAGGTATAGTTATTTCAATTATCACGACTAACCACTCGTTGGCAGATTATTTAAAGGGGTTGCATTATGACAGCTTAAACAATAATTAAATATTTAGGCATAGTAATAATTTCACACATTTACAGTAAATTACAAATAATGCTACCCCTCAACTTTTGTTCGTTGTCATTACTATCTGTCTTTTCAATTTCAATTTCAATGTTACCGTTTATGGCCGTTTACAAATGTTCATCTCCCATGATTTGAGAATGTAGGTATGCATATAAAAGTACCTAATGTAAGTATAATACAAATCATAATAAAATCGTTTTAAACGTATATATATTTATATATAACACTGATGTATCATCGTCAACGATATCGTAATCATAGAATATCTAAATTCCATTTCTTTCTTTTCATGTAGACTGAAATGTATAAAATTGATTAGATGGAACAGATTAAAATGATCTCTGCACCTCTAAAAATATAAAAATCATTTTCTCCTTACTTTTCGCGACGTTCTATCACAAAGTTACTATGCTTTCACAGTCCGCATTATAATAAAACTTTTTGAACAGGTTACGCGTACGACTTGCGATGTTTTATCGTTTCTTTTTTTTTTTCACTTCAATTACTTCACAACAGCATGGCAGAAAACTTACATGATACATAGTGTGATGTAAATTTTATATAAAAAAATTTGATAACAATTTCTTTCGTGTCCCAAATAAATTTGTAATAAAGTCAACAGTACTTGTTCTGAATTAATTATAAAAATATATGTTACATCTAAACTTTAATGAAATGAACTGTATAAGCAAAAAAACGATCTAAGTATCATGAAAATTTTCTATAAGATAGACATTTTACGTACATATTATATCTACATGGACTCCCAGATAGGGGTTATCAAGGGTATATTTTCCTTTAAAATATTTTTATCAAAATTCCAAATGTTATTTTTAGTAAGTGTTGGTAGTGAAGGCCTTGAAAACCGGATGCTCAGGCAATCGATTTTTAACAGATTAGTACCTAAATATGCAGGTACCTATGTTTAAGTTAAACCGAATACATATTATAATCAACCTGACAGTTAGAATTACCCAATAAGAACAAGTTTTTATACAACGCAACTAGGAATACAGTATACTTATTCATATATTATCACACAGATATATAAATCCATTGCAGTCTAAAGTCACTATACAGTAACCGTGTATGCCTAATGTTCTAGACAGTTGTCTCCATATGGAAATCCTTTTTGTAGACAATTAGCTATGATTTATGTGAAAAAAAAATGGATTCATCAAATACTTATGTGTCTAAAAAGGCAAACCACAAAAGGTTAATAAAAGAATAACTATCAAACCATGATTGAAATGATTTATACTGAAATTATTCTAGAAAGGCAAACTCCCAGTTACGTTATTTGAAAAAATAATTCAATCGGGTAATTATAATTGTTCAATACATAGTCAACCATATCTATAGTACCTGTATAAGCTTGTATTGATTGATTTGGACATTCGAATACCTGTAAAACCAGTTAAATCAAGGACCAATTGATAGATAGGTTCTGTATATGCAGGACGTATAAATTGTATAAAATTTTGTATAATCTTTCAAAATAATACTCCATTAGAGACAGCAATAAATTACCTACATTGTAGAAATGTGGTACATTTTAAAAACATTCTAAGAATATCAATTAAAGTGGACCTGATTAACTTCATAGGAATGTAAAAAACATCAGTTAAGAAAATACACCAATTATCAAAGTTTCACATTGCCTTTGCATGATAGAAATCATGCAAAACCTTCAATCTTAACATGTATTATTATACTACACCTAAAACTTCTTATATACAAACACAACAAAATATTGATTTTCATTCATTTTAGAATAACTGATATCAAATACAATACTTTTCAGTATTCCTAATTTCCATTTCTTTAATACAAAGATTTTATGTAATAAATGATTGAAACAGAAGACTAAAACCATGCGTGTACGAATGTAAATATATTTGCAGGAATATTTATAATGTTAGACATTGTATTGAACTAATGGAAAATAAGATATACAGAAATTCATTAGTTTTACTTAGAACTCTTTGGTTTCATCATATTCGTTATTACATAAAATCCTTGGTTATAGCAATGTTTACAAATAAAATTCGAAATGCTGTTATTGGTTATGAAAAAATGTTGAATTGTATGATTTTCGGAACAAAATCGAAACATATAACTTAATAGTTTAACTCTGTTACAATCTAATAGTTCTATTTTGATTACGTTAGACGTTGCTAACTGTTGCATATTTACAAAATTCATAAGAACAAAAATGTGAGCTGCATCTATTTAATTATAGCCCATATGCTTATAAATCAATAGTTTAAACATAATTCTGGCAAATTGCTGTTACGTACAAATTGAAATACCAACTTTGTTTGAATCTTTGTATACAAGAAATAATAATACTGATTAATGTAAACCTTCCTAAAAAAATAGTAACGTTGAAATAAGAACCAGTTATCAAAGTTGAAGTTCAGCTGAACAGGTGTCATGTATGCGCTAAACAAAACCTGTAATCTGTCCATTGAATTTTCGTATAGAATTTGTCCTAAGACATACTGGACTTTAGATTATAAACAAAATATATATACGTGAGAAAGTAATATTAAGACATTAGAATTATATTAATTTTAATTTCAGCTGCTTACAAAATGTGATTTATAGTACAGAAAAGAACAGAACTTCAATATGGAGGTACAAAAACAACAAATCGAAAAAAAAAATAATATAACAAACATGAAAGTAGAGAAAATCATGCAGTTATACTGAAGTATCGAAATCCTGTGTACAATTCTGAAGTCAAATTAAAGAAGAAAATAGAAAATAAAAATTAACACTTTTTGCACACAGCAATTTGAACACAAACTGGTTAGTTTCATTTGGTTTATATGGCATGGATCTAGTATTTGGTTTCTTTGTTACTTAATAATTCAATGTTAACAAACGTAATTAATCTTACATACAAAATAAGTTATTATTATATTTTCGAAGACCGGTTTCATCACCAGCATTTTCATTACATATTTTAATATAAAAAAGAAGCATTGGATTAAATATCTGTACAAAATAGAAAATCTTAGTTAAACTATTAGCAAACTGATCCTTCTTTATACAAATATGTAAAACCATTATTATTGACAATGTATAGAATACAAGTTACTATGTACAATATATTGTATATATGTATAGTAGTCTTCTTACAACCCTTTAATATTTATAAAAAAGGATGGAAACATTTTATCAAAACATACAATATTTATATACATGTATGTACGTATACACACACATGTACATATATACGTATAATCAAAATTTTTAATCTATATTTTCATTAGGCAGTTTTTACTTCCTTTGATGTATAAAACTATCATAAAAACGTTTAGTTTACCGTTATAAACGGAGGTAATCATGTGATTTACATTGGTACACACACATTGGTATTGTCTTACCAGAACATTTTTTTTTTTCTAATTAATGTCCTAATTCTTATTTCAACTACAATTTCAGTTTACTATGTTTCAAACACTAAATGTTGAATGCATACCTTCGGATCGGAAGTAGTTTCACTTTTTATATACATCTATCATTATTGAAGCATCAGAGATTCCAAGTTTCTATGCAATATTGTATCTTTGACAGCATTGAATACAACTTTTATGTTCTCTGTATCCACCGCAGTAGTAAAGTGATGAAAGAGGGGTTTTCTTGGGTCCCTTTTGACAGATATAAACATTTCCAATATAAAATTCTGCACATCCTTCATGGAATGTGAATCTCCTGCGAATTGAGGAAAGTACCAGCGAACATTTGTGTCAGGTGATCTCACTTTTTTGTCTAACAAATCAGTTTTATTCAAAAACAAGATGATAGACACACCACCAAATATCATATTATTCACTATCGTATCAAAGATATTTCTCGATTCTTCCAATCGATTGGTTTTCCTGTAAATGAGACACATTGTTTAACAGTTTTACCTTTTTTTTTTAAGTAATAAAGTGGATGTAATTGTAACACACCTGTCTTCTAACAATACTTGATCAAATTCAGATGATGACACGAGAAATAGTATAGAAGTAACACAATCGAAACATTGGTACCACTTTTGTCTTTGAGATCTCTGCCCTCCAACATCGACAAACAAGAATGGGATATTATTAATTTGAATGACAAATTCTGAAATTCCTTTTGTAGCTTTTCTACAGTGTAAAATATCTTGATGTGTTGGTACATAATCCTGTAAAAAAATTGATAATATTTAAGGAATACTACATTATATTCATAAAAGTGTTATGAAAACTTTATGCGAATTACCATTCTTGCAATCCTATCAAGATTGTCCAAGAAATATTGAACTGAATCACTCTGTAATTAAAAGCGTACTTGTAAAGCATAAAAATAACAGAGGTTCAGACATTATTAATAAATTTATGTTTGTGTTCTGATTTTTTGTATTAATAGGAAACACGAGACTCAAATATAAAACACCTTAGAACTATAAAACATGCAAGAGTATCTTACTAATTGAAATTCTCTCCGTCTATCAAAGGCTTTTCTGATTGATGCATCTTTCCATAAACTTTGTAAAGCTGGCACATAATGAAGAAACAACCTAGCATCTAATACCATAGTATTTTCAAATTTCAGTAATTGATAACCAATATCATAGTTTTTGGGGTTTTCCCATGGAATATTTAACTTGTCACGAGCATCCACCAAAACCTTCATTCCTTTAATTATATTTTGATAAATTACATGTTGGTACTCTTTGATCAGTTCAGGCTGAAAAGGAAAAGAATACTATAAACAACAGGTATTACTTATAGATAATGTACATTATTCATATGTGTCATAGATGAAATATATTTGTCTTTTAATAAGAAACAAATATGCATAATAAGTTTAAAAAACTGTAGATTTTATACTGAAACTTTTCATGAACAGCTTACAATCTATTTCATGTACTTGTAAGTTGTATATTTAGTGATTAAGAATGCGATAAGTGGTTAAATAAACAGACGGGAAATGTGTACACATAACGGTCTATGCCAAACACAATATTGCCAATACTTTTTTATAGATTATTTTCACACCTGAATTCTTTTTATTCAAGACCGATTGCTTGCACGAACTGGGTTTAATAAGTCTTATTTGCAAATTACCTAATTTGAAAATATAATAGTGAGAAACTGAACACGAAACGAAAATTGAATGTGCTTCATCATAAATGAAAACAGTAACAGGTAGTAGAATGCTTGTTTTAAAGATTTTAAATGAAAAATTACAAAGATTACTCAACTGTGCATCAGACCTACTTTCTCATATACTCTTAAATCATGTGTTTAGGTCAACCACCTTTTCATTAACGAAGATCTAGTTTAATAGCTACAATAACACTGACAGAAGCACAGTCAAATTGCATTTTTCTTGGAAACGAAATGATTCGCGCATTACAATAAAACCATTAGGCAAATGAACGGGGACGTCCAGTGTGAATTGGACAGAAAGAAGATCGTGTCGGAAAGAGAACGGTTCGAGGAACTCGGGGAAGTCCTACCTCGAATTTAATTCCGTGAATAATTCGCATCTGTTTAAGGAATGTCGACTTTCCGCTCTCGCCCGCCCCGAGGAGCAGCAGCTTGACCTGTCGTCGGAGAGCCTGGCGATCCTTCTCCAGCATCCGATCGATCTCCTGACTTTTGTAACGCTGCTCGATCTCCTCGGGGCTGAACTTGAACCGCAGGCAACAAGTACACGACCACGTTAAGGACCCCGCCATCTTGCTACCCTGCTACCCTCCTCTTCCTTCCTTCCTTCCGTCTTTCCGTGTCAGGCCGTCCTTCCGAAGGAATATATCCTTGATCGTCTAAACACTGTACACGCATACACATAAGAGACACGCGCGCACACCCGTCCGTCCTCGTGCACGAGTCCCGTCTGTGTTCACGAGCGCACTTATCGTAACGTAATGCACGTAGCGAAGGGACCACCCCTTCTGTGAGCAACCTGTTCGTGTGGATAGGCACAGGATCGGCGCACGTCTTTGATTCAGAACCGCATTTCTCACCTAGGCGTAGCCGGGGAACGCGACCGCTGAACCAACAACGTTAACACAGGTCGTCGTCGTTCAACTCTGTTAGAGACGACTCCACACCTACCGTTAATCGCGAGACTCACGCCGTTGGCTGCCCACACGATCCTCTCTGGTTCCTCGCGAATTGGACATGATTAAATAATCGTTCTAATTACCGGGGAAGCGAACGAACTCGCGCATCGTTCTCATCGCGCTTTATCCTCGAGTACGAGACACACGACCCCCGTCGCCTTTGATGCGGGACAACGTCTTCCTAGAGACACACACACACACACAGTGTAGTAACGCGTATTCGTACAGGGACACGAGACACACACACACACACACACGCGCGCGCGCATACACCTGTGCTTTTTCTCTGCGTGGAGACAAAAAACATGCAAGAGTTCACCTATGCCAAACTACATGATAATTATGCGGGGGAAGAAATATGCGAAACGGCGAACGGGAAAACGTACTCCCCACCACGACGACATATTTGTTGTGAGATACTACCGCGATATGTACACGTATGCGCAGCACACGCACGCACGGTCTCTGACACCGACCGAAAGCGCACCTCCTGGTTCGGCCGCGTGATCGGTTTTGCGCGCTGTCATTCGTCGGAAGACCTTTCGTTTTTTCTTTATTCTTGTCGATACTGCAACGCACGCGACGACGATCCCTCTTGAACATCGTGCGTCAACGATCATACGGTCATGGCTACATGGTGGGGAGGGAACGATTCTTTTTTTCGTTCCTCCCCTTCTCTCTCCCTTTCGCGTGCTTTACTTCCGATGTCTGTTTACTGAAAGCCGGTCTTTCAATGCTACAGAAGAATCAATGATAAGACCGCTGAGATTGGCGATCTTGACAAATGTTCGATACCGGCCAATCCGAGTAACTCGCTTTTGAGAACGCCGCGATCCACGCTAATACTGGCACAGACGAGATATAGAATAGACCTAGTATCTTATGGAACTTCGGGTCACATGTTCTGAAATACCGATCGCGCAAAAAATCAGAGATTTTCTGCTGCCCTCTACGTTATGACACAGACGACTCGTCTGTGGTATTATTAGTACAAATGGAGTATTATATATTCCATTCATATTACGTGTATCGTGTATCTACCATGATTCGGCGCGAATCGAAATATTCGATGCTATGGTTTAAAGACCGAAGAATAGTTGGCACGGAATATTAGTATTTCTTAACAATTTTCATCTAAAAAAATTGCTCCCAATTTGCGTCCTCGGAATCTAAAATTGCTCCCATCGCAACTATTATATTTAATGAGATATTCCGCAAATGAAAAAGCAAACATTTGTTGTCTGCAAAATACATAGTAAATGGTCTTTTCACACAAATGTTATGGTACCAAAAAATTGTCCCTGATTTGGTTTATAATATTCAATGGTCAGATATTTTAGTCACAACTTATTAACAAGGAGCAATTGAAATAATGTTTTTGCATAAAGATTAGGTATGACGTCGTACAGTAGGCGCTCGTTTATTGCAGGCTGTTTTACTGTAATCTATTTTATTATAAATTAGGAACACCCTTCGCTCACACGTATTTCTCACCCACATGCGCGCACCCCACTCCGTCGTCCAGCACATTATTTGTTGCTATCACTAACCCGTGCTTTTCTACACTTTTATAGATAAATAAGATAACTAAACAAATTTAGTTATTAATCATTTTGTATGGTACAATTTTATTCACAGTATTGATTACATTGTTTTCAATAAAGAAGAAGAAATGAAACTACTGTTCAATCATATGTGCATTATAAAAAATAGTCCAGTCACTTTGAGTGCTCAATATCTTCGAAAATCACCGAAGGAATCATGATCGCAAATTCTTCTGTTCGTTCGCTGAAAAATAAACGTATTACAAAGAGGTTTTATGTTCAACTCCTGCCAGACTTATTATATTTTTTTTCGAGTACAAGAAAGTAATAACGATTAATATTGCTATTATAAACACGCTAATATTATTATGTAAATTTAATTGAAATACATTATTATTATGTGGTAGAATAAGTTCAGAAACGATAAGACATGCACGTAATGCAGCGATACGTAGATTGCAATTTTGCATTGACGCAAACGGTTACCACTTCAAGCATCTCCTGTAATGTAAGAAAGTTTATTTTACTACCACATTTGACCTTGCATGACCTTCAATGATAGCTCGCTGAAGTCGTCTCAACACCGGCTATCACATCGTGATACAAAAAACATAGCATTCCATAAAAAAAATAGAGATGACTTTGAAATCTCCTCTATGTCTTCACCCACGCAGAAAATGTTTATGTCACTATATGCCCCCGTCTATACCGTGTAAGTTTTGTATATAACATTTTTTCATATTATTACAAATAACGACAATATTCAAAGTGGACATAGTTATTGCCGCACCCTGTATATGTTACATCGGTAAGGTCGGGTATTGACATTAAAATGATAAGGGGGCTCTAGAGCCCCCGATAAGTATGACAGAAAATACATGGACATTAGGTATAACCACCGACTAGGTATAGGATAGACCTATCATCTTATAGGACTTCGTGTCGCATGTTCTGAAATACCGATAGTGTAAAAAGTCAGGGATTTTCTGCTGCCCTCTACGTTATGAGAACGGTGAATTTGTGAACTATGTTAAATCTAAGAAGTGACCATGGTCGTGAACGGATTCTCTTTCGTCCGTTCGCTATAAAGTAGACGTATTAGAAAGGAATCTTGGGTTCGAATCCCGACGGACCTATATTAGTTTTTCTTCGCGTACAAAAAAGTTATTGCGTTTAATATTGTTTTTATGGATATGTATATGTATTATTATGTACATTTGAGTAAATTATTTTATTATTCCATTGTTATTACAACAGTTTAACAGTGACAACGAACGCATGTATATTTTCAAATATCGGACTAATAGTGTATTTTTATTCTATATTATTACATATAAGTGAGTAATACGTATCAAAAACGTAATCGAAACACAGATTTTTATTACACCACAAACATCGCATAAAAGATATTTCGTTATATTGACATTTGTAATAATTATGGATGTTGCAAGGAAATCAATATTATTGACATTATGGAACATATAACGAAATATCACTGTAACACCTAAAATAGTTTTAAAGTTCCATTTATATCATTGTCCTGTGAAAATGTTCATACTTCCAGCAACATTCATATTCCAATCAAAGAATTTACAGAATAAGGAAAAGGAATCTAAAGTAATTTTCAGTAGTTCCATACATCTTTATCTCGAATACTTTTCTAAAACATTCAAAGTACTACACATTTTCACACTTTGAATTTCATATCGATTTCTAAAATAATCCTAGTTCGATATAATATAGAACATGGTTTTATGAGATAGATTCGAAGTTCGCAGTTATTAGCTCGATATTGTCATCAGTTTACAGTACTTTACCGATGATAAAACCGATTGCCCAGGCCTCACCACGAGGAGGTTGCTGCGAGTGAAGGCCCAAGGCAGGTAGATGGAATCACAAGTTCTACATCTTCCCACCTTTCACAATAAACCTTATAGATAACTTAAATCTTAACTATGTAATACTATCTGTATTAAAATCCCTCGGCGGATGGCTTCTTTCATGAGCCTAAACCTATAAAAAACTAAGTTCCCTCGTCGGTTGTCTTCGTTCTTCAGCTTAGAACTAATATTATCTTAATATTCTAATTAATACGAATTAATGCTATTAATACAAAATAACTTAAACTAAACGCAACGTAGTTGCTAATACTCAAACGAAAGAGATAGACGGAATGGAAAAAGTTCCATCGATCATTTCGTTTACGCACCTAATATTCTATATACCAAGCAGTTATTAAGTCTACGATGAACTACGCGTTAAACTACAGTATGAACAAGTATCGCGATGAAAGTGTTGTCGCCAGAACCTGGTTTAAGAAAATAGGAAAGACGGGCGACACCTCGCTAATCCGGATCCATCTTTTACTGCCATGGAGCTTTGGGCTGGTCACCTGCATACCAGACCCGAACCAAAGGAGTACACAAGCATGGTAGTGCAAGCGAGATTCTCTGTTTACGCAGCAGCCTCCCGACTACTCCGTACCCTTGCATGCACGAGCCTTTCTCCAAATCCTATTTACCAGGCAAAGACTAAGCACGTCCGATATCTGGCTTCTCAATAGAAACCAGAGGGATCGGCAAACAGTCTTAGTGCACAGGTCCACTGCCCGTACCATAGGTACAGACCCACTGCCCGTACCCCAAGTCTGTGTAGAGAATCAACGGGCAAAATGAATTAATAATAACTTGGTATGCACAATGGATGGTCACAATTTAAGTCTATTAATAGATAGACTAAAATTAATAATAAACGATGTGATGATGAATATGAATATAACAATGAATATCGAATTATGATTTAAGTTTAACTTACAGTAACTTAACGCAGTGGTAGACGCACGCTTTGAAGATGTAGACGTTGATCGATGTCTTCTTTCGATGGAATAACTGTTTGGAAAAATATTTTTCATTATACAATACACATAGAATACATAATATGCACAGTAAATAAATCACAGTAAATGAATCACAGTACATAAGAAGATAAATATCGAAGCCAATGGTTCTCGAACATCTGTAACATACAAGGGATTAGTAACAAGAGAGGAGACACAACAATATGCACAGTAAATAGATTAATAATATACACAGTAAATAAATCACAGTATAGAAATCCGAGTAAATGAATCACAGTACACAAGAAAATAAATATCGAAGCTAATGGTTCTCGAACATCTGTAACATACAAGGGATTAGTAACAAGAGAGGGGTCACAACAATATGCACAGTAAATAAATTAATAATATGCACAGTAAATAAATTGATGGTTGTCGAATGCCTGGAAGAAACAATGGGTTAGTAACAAGAGAAAGGACGAATATGAGACGCGCGCCCACCCTCCGCGACGGCTCACGAGAAAGTGAGGAAGCTAACGCCGTTATGTATTGGGCGTACGCAGGTTTGTTCCTGTTGAATTGTTTTTGCCGGCTTGAACGACCTTCCTTGAACAACCCAAACACCGGATGGTACAGCCAGGTACGGCTATGGTACACGGCGTACCCTCCCTGTGTGGCGGGGAATAGAATACGCCCACGGTAATCCCTGCCTGTCGTAAGAGGCGACTAAAAGGGACTGTTGGGATCGCGGCACTTTGGCACCCGTGGTCCGGGGGGGGGGAGCCCCCGCTTCCCCCACCACAGAGAGGGCGCTCCGCCGTTAACTGGCGGAGCTGGCGCTGGGGAGGTACCGGTTGTGTTCGCAAGAGATCCCGGTGCCTCCCCGCATAGCGCCGAGCCCGGCCACCGTGAGGGTTTAGTGGGTATTTCCCCTGGGTTTTGCCCTATTGGGGATGAGTCCCACACTACCCCCGCCCCAC